AATGCTGAATTCAGCACTCTACGTCTCAAGCAACCAGTTTCTGAAAATGCAGACAGCCGCCTCTTTTTGGACGGGAATGATGAAAACTTCATTGGAGTCTGTGTGATTGACAGCACGGCTTTGCAGAGTGGCCGAGAAATGTATCTGCTGCTTTGGTTGCTTCTTAAAGCAGGATGATGCTTCTGGTTGTAACAAATTTTCCTACCTTCCAACCTTTCTCTGATGAAAATAGGGACACCCCATTCCATAATGATAACTATACTATTTATACCCTACATATCTTACTGGGTTGCCCCAGCCACTCTAGGCAGCTTCCAACATACAGTTGTACCTTGGTTCTCAAATGCCTTGGTGCTCAAACGCCTTGGTTCCCAAACACCAAAAACCCAGAAGTAAGTGTTCCAGTTTTCGAACATTTTTTTCAGAAGCTGAACATTTGATGCTGCTGTCAGCTATTGTTTCCGGGGCACCTGCACCAATCAGAAGCCACGCCTTGGTTTCCCCCGAACATTTCAGAAGTCAAATGGACTTTTGGAATGGATTGTTTGAGAACCAAGGTACCACTGTATATAAAAACACAATAAAACATTTTTTTTAAAAAAACTTCCTAATACAGGATTGCCTTCAGATGGCTCAGGGATCGGAGAACTCCATACCCTCCAACATTTCTCCAATAAAAATAGGGAGATCCTAAGGAAAAGTGGGACATTCTGGGATTAAATCAGAAACTGGGATGGCTTCACTAAATCAGGGATGTCCCTTGGAGGGTCTGAATTTTGGGGACCAAGTGAAGTGTTTAAAGGATCTGTGAACCACCCTGAGATCTTATGATGAAGGGTAGTATATAAACCTAATAAATCATCATCATCATCCTGGGAGGTCATTCAGCCTACCCCCTGCTCAATGCAGAATCTACAGTGTGGGACACACAACTACAACACCCCTAACAAGTGGCAGTCCACCACTAGTTAGACACCTCCAGTGACGGACAGACCACCACCTCCAGAGGCAGTTTGTTCTACCGTCAAACAGTTCTCATTGTTGGGACGTTTCTCCATCTGCTTCCTTGCCATTTCTCCCTATTCCTTCTAACCCTTTCCTCCCCAGAGGAATCTTTGGCCCCCAGGTGTTGCTGAACTACAACTTCCATCATCCCTGACCCTTGGCCATGCTTACTGGGGCTGATGGGAGATGTAGTTCAGAAAGGGCCAAAGGTTCTTCCCACCTGATCTATTTGCTTCCTTGCCGTCCCCACCCATTTACTCTACTCCAGGCTTCCTGTTTTGAGACTACAATCCCCATCATCCCTGACCACTGGTCCTGCTAGCTAGGGATCGTGGGAGTTGTAGGCCAAAAACACCTGGAGGGCTAAGGATGAGGAAGCCTGCTCTACTCCTTGCCTCGGGAGCAACAAAGTCCTTCTTCTGGTGTTCAGATATTGAACTGGGGAAGGACTTTGGATTTCCTAAGAGCACGGCATTCCATTCCACCCATTTCTCCTCTAGGGGTAAGAGCCAAGTCACTTCCATACTCTGTAATATTAAACCTGCCGCACGGCCTGAGCTGTTTGTCGCTTTTTAAAGCAACGGGCTGGACCAAGGGGAGTGGGGGCAGGCGGGCTTTGCCATGGGAACCTAATTCAAGGGGGTGTCAAAAACATGATTAAAGTTAATAACAGACATATATCCATTCTTTACAGAAAATAAAATTAATTTGTTATTATTAATTTATTACCCGCCCTTTACCCTAAGGTCCTGCGGTTTTAGCATTGAAACACAATTTTAAATATATATATTAAACAACTTACAATCATAAAAATTAAGTGAATCATTTACATGATTTAGGGAAGGCAGCCACCCCCCCTAGCCGCACCCATGAATGGAATCATTTCATTATTATTTTTTAAAAGTTGGCAATCCTAATTCTGATATGGAATATTTTTAACAGGGCCAAAACTTAGGTACCTTGTAGCCAGGGCAAATATCACAAAGTGTGCCGCAGAGAGAGCCCCATCTTTTATGACATACAAAAATTAGCAACAGTTGTTATAGAAAACGATCAAAGAGTACATATCATTTGCACATTCATTTGCAGTAACATCACAATTGCAGTTAAATCAGGAGCATGAAAAAAAATCGTAGTCATTCTAATGATTTATTACATCAGTAACTTTGCATGTTATTATTTTTGCTGCAACTGCAAATTTCATCCCCAGCAACCCTCCAAATACATTCAGAACCGCCCATCACCAAAAAGCTCACCTAACTTGTTCGAAGGACTTAGTTGTGAGAAAAACATGGTCAGGATTGTCCTGCAGGCTTCTATATGGCAGGTTGCTATTTGAGACCAAGGAGTGGGATTGGCAAAACGAACTGGGACCTGTGTTTTATATCCACATCGTAGAGTTCAACTGGTTTAACAGTCCCTCTCAGAGGAATTGTAGTGCTGCAGAGGGTGTCCCTGTTAGAAGAATGCTAAACCAACTACAATCCCAAGATGCTTTAGAAGAAACCAAAATTGGTATAAAATTTTAATCTGCCTAGGTCACCCAGAGACAAACAGAACCAAAGCAATATATATATATATTGACTCTTGAGACTCTTGAGAGTCCCATGGACTGCAAGAAGATCAAACCTATCCATTCTGAAGGAAATCAGCCCTGAGTGCTCACTGGAAGGACAGATCCTGAAGCTGAGACTCCAATACTTTGGCCACCTCATGAGAAGAGAAGACTCCCTGGAAAAGACCCTGATGCTGGGAAAGATGGAGGACACAAGGAGAAGGGGACGATAGAGGATGAGATGGTTGGACAGTGTTCTCAAAGCTATCAGCATGAGTTTGACTAAGCTGCAGGAGACAGTGGAAGACAGAAGTGCCTAGCATGCTCTGGTCCAAGGATCATCATCCGAACTGAATTCGCCCATTCCCGTCCATTTTAGTTCACTGATGCTCAGGATGTCAATATTTATTCTTGCCATCTCATTTTTGACCACATCCAGCATACCAAGGTTCATGGTTCTTACATTCCAGGTTCCTATGCAATATTTTCCTTTACAGCATTGGACTTTCCTTTCGCTTCCAGGCATATCCGCAACTGAACAACCTTTCAGCTTTGGCCCAGCCGCTTCATCAGCTCTGAATCTACTTGTACTTGTCCTCTGCTCTTCTTCAGTAGCATGTTGGACGCCTTCCGACCTGAGGGGCTCATCTTCCAGCATCATAACTTTTATATGCCTGTTGTCTTTGTCCATGGAGGGATACTGGAGTGGCCTGCCAGTTCCTGCTCCAGGTGGATCACGTTTAGTCAAAACTCTCCACTATGACCTGTCCATCTTGGGTGGCCCTGCACGGCATAGCTCATAGCTTCTCTGAGTTATTCAAGCCCCTTCACCATGGCAAGGCAGTGATCCATGAAGGAGATTACTTTTGGTACAAATTATGATTTGACTGTCTTCCTCATTTCATCATATACTCTTCAGTATTTTGAATGATGGACTGGGTAATTGAACAAGCCAGAGCCGTCTTTCCCATAGGGCTTAGTGGTTTGTCGTGCCAGGGCACTGGCCTCTCAGGGGTGCCCCAGCGAGTGGGGGAGCTGTGCGGCTTTGCCGGTGGCTTCCCCTTTCCCTGCACGCCTGCCAGGAGCGCCCCCCAACTATATGGCTGGCAGCAGTGGCGGAGGAAGAGGGGAGAGGCAAAGCATCTGCAAGCCCCGGCACCCCCCTCCGGAGGGTGGGCGGCTGCACCAGTTGGCAACCCCAGCAGGTGGATGGCGTGGATGCACCAATTGGCAGCCCCAGCAGGGTTCCTTCCCTCCCAGCAAAGTCCATTTTGTGATATCAGTTTCATAATTTTTGACCTTGCAATATATCGTGAATCAGGGTGAGTGGATGGATGCGTGCTAATGCAAAAATTACAATGTGGAAGGAAACCGTGAAGCCAGCCAATGCCTCCATCCTTATTTCAGACACCATGAAATATCAGTAAACAAACAGGGATGTTTAGCTGGTGACATGGCACTCTGTTGAAAACCAGATACCACTTAGCCCAGGCTTCCTCAACCTCGGCCCTCCAGATGTTTTGAGACTACAATTCCCATCATCCCTGACCACTGGTCCTGCTAGCTAGGGATCATGGGAGTTGTAGGCCAAAAACATCTGGAGGGCCGAGTTTGAGGAAGCCTGCCTTAGTCCTAGTCACAAACAGAAAACAATGAGATAGTATTTTTTAAAAAAGGAAACCTTTCAAGAAGTTCCATCCTTGACTCAACATAATATATTAAAAGGATAGAGAAACCATACCCATCAATAGGGCAAGGCGTCTTTCAATTGTATTATGCTTTCTACAGCTCTTTTAACTATTAAATCTTAAGGGAATTCTCTCCCCGCACCTTCCTAAGTGTGTTGACAAACTTTTCTGCCTGGATTCCTCTTCATTTCCCCAGAGGGACTTGGAAGGGCGAAGGGGACTTGTCCAAACCTGTCCACACGTCGTTTTTCGCCATCTCAGCCCCGGTCCCCATCCTCCCCCGCCGGACCTAATTATTTACTGTGTCGTTTTTTCTCTGAAATTTCAGATACTCCCCAAGCCAGCTCCCCTGCTGCCTCCCTCCCTCCCTCCTCCCCTGCCAGCCAGCCCCGCCCACTCGCAGGGTTGACAAACATTTCAGCCCTGGACTTCCCTTTCCTCTCTTTCCAAGATGGGCGAGGAAAATAGGACAAGCCCCAACCTGTCGCTGCTGCATCCCTAACTTATGCTCCCTTGTGTGTGCGTGTGTGTGTGTCGCGGATGCTGGGGGGGGAGAGAGAGAGAGAAGGCAGGAGGTAGGCGGGGCTTGATCCCAACAACAGCTGCCTTTCAAGCCGGCGCTTAATGAGGGGTGTCCCTAGGGGGCTCCGTGACGTCACTGAGCCTCCCGAGCCAACCGGGAGAGGCGGTGGGCGGGGCTCGGCGGGGAGATGAAAGGCGGCGGAATGGAGGCGCGAGGGCGGAAAGGGAGCTACCCCGCCCCCTTAGGCAGCTCTTCGCCCTCACCGTCTCTTTCGCGGGAAGCTGGCTGGGCGAGAGGGCGCTGGTGCGGGGGACTTGATTGTTTTGGGAAGAGGCGAGGAGTGGAGCTCGCTGCCTGGACGTGAGCGATCGGCGGCGGCGCTATCAATATCAGTACCGATAACAGTCATAATAATAATAATAATTCTAGCAGCGGCGGTGGACTTGGCTTGATCTGGGCAAGGAGGAAGGAGTCGCTGCCCCAGGCATGAGGTTGTCCGGGCCCCACGCCGCCGCTGCCGCCCCCAGAAGCCGCCGATCCTCTGCGGGAACCCGGTAGTCCCCTCCACCCCACCCCGCTCCGCCCCAGCTCTTGGGGGGCTTCCTCTGGATGCGGCTGCGCCTGGGCGCTGCCCGCTCCGTCCGGCTGCCGCCAGCCCCGCCGAGTTTTGGATGATGACGATGAACTCTCTGGCCGAGAGCTTGCTGGGCCCTCCGGACCCGTCCAAGGCGTCCTTCCTGGACTTCGGGCTCGGCCCCCCACCTCCCTCTCCGCCTCTCCATCACCAGCAACAGCAGCAGCAGCAACCCGGCTTGGCGCCCCCTTACTCTCTGCAAGCGCTGCAGCCGCCGCCGCACGACGGTGGTGGGGGCGGCGCCTTCCCCCCCGGCGCAGCCTCGTACGGCAGACCCCTGGCTTACGCCCCCTATCCCGGGGCAGCCGGCAGCAGCCCCCACCACGCTTTCTACCACCACCACCATCACCACCACGGCGCCTCGTACTCGCCTTACCAGCAGACCTCCAGCGCCCTGGGACACGGGACGAGGCTGGAGGAGACGGGTAAGGCGAGGCTGGCTGATTTGGAGAGGGAAGGGGGGGTCTTTAAAAGGTGGGAAGGGGAGAGAAGCATCTCTCCGGAGCAGCGAAAGCACCCCCGGCGCGGAGTCTTTCTCCGACTTGATCCGGAGTAGGCCGTTCACACGGTCGCCGATCCGGTTTGTCGGCAATCCGGATCAACGGCTGGGTTGCGGCGCAGTGACGAGAAAACTGCTGGTGGGGGCTTGCTTGCCTAGTGTAAGCCGCCTTGGCATAAGCGCAGGTCACGGCTAGGGGTTGCAAGGCCCCGTTTTCCGTGGGCAAGCACAAAAAGTCTGGAAAGGACACGTAGTAAAGGGGTCGCGAATGTGGATGCCTTGACGTGACTTCGAAGCGAGGGAGAGCGATGAGTTGGGGTAGCTGATCTTTTGACTGGGGAGGCAGAACTTGGGGGGAAAGTCGCTGTGTTTCCGGTGGCTTCTAATGCCAATATTTGGCAGTGTTTGTCAATTCGTTTCCCCTTTCCATCAAACCCCCATTTAACACGCATTTAATACATACACGCAGATAAATAAAATGTTGCCCCGGCATAGGAGCCAACGGCTAGGGGCCGAGGTCCCTTCGGTCCCCTCAATAAAGTATTTGAAGGTCCGCCCCCCCCCCTTAATGGGCATTGCCATTCAAATACTGTGCGTGCACTGTCTTGCGATCGATTATGTGGGGCGGGATTTACCTGCCTTCCTCCCCCCCCCCAATAGTTTATTCAAGTTGGCACCCCCGTGCCCCGGTATCATCAGCGAGGATGGGGAGGGGTACCTAGTGAGAACTTGAGGTGAACTTTAAATCGGATTTAGGATTCATGCAGTGTCAAGCCTGCACTGAGTCCAATGTGCCAATGGCTTAACACCTGATCTCTCTCACTCTGGATTTCTGAGCCGTATCAGTCAACATTCGCAAGTGTGGGGATCTCAAACTAGCATCGATCGCTTGTGGAAAACACCCACTGATGATTGGAGAGGACCCTACCTTTTGTATACCCTCTAGGAAAACCACCTGGTTTCCATCCAATGTCAGCTGTACTCAGAGCTGATCTGTTGGGCATAGGTAACTGAGAGCCACTAATTTCAATGGACTTGGTTAGATGCAAACCACCGGCCTACAGCGGTAGAGAAGCAGTTGTGAGCTTCACAAATTCAGTTGTGTTCTTAGGTGCAGACCAAAATGCAAATCAAAAGCCCGCTGGCTGCGGGGACTGTACAAGGACTGTGGTGTACAGCTCCTTGCACATCTTCTGCAGTTTGCAGCTCTTTTTCTCGTCCACCAAGACTGCATACAGACACTTTACTTGGAATAAACCTCTCCCTCTGGCCACCAGCTGCAGAGAGGCTCATGGGAGGGGCTACTAGAGCATTTGCCCCGCGGGGCAACCCACCGGACAGGCACCAAAAACATCACCAGGAGTAGGTTGACATGACTAAATCTCTATGGACAAGGAGCGTTCCTCTTGGGGCAACAAACTGTGCAGTTACCTGAACATAACTGGGGGCTTGTAGTCACTGGAGATAAGTTCCTCTGCTCCTGATACCCTTTATAAATAGGATAGTATTTGGTTTCTTGGTTGTTGTTTTTTGGTTTTTAAAATCATTACGGTCGTCTTCAAATGTATTTGAAGCTGCCTAATCGCAGGAGGTTTGACGAGACGACCCCGTTGGCTCCCATACACTTAAGAGTATTTGTGCAGCAACATCCTTGTCTCAGGACTGTTGGAGGTGGGGAGGGAAATTTTAGAGAGATTGATCCCCCACCCCCAGTGTCCTTCCAGGCCCAAGATGCTGTTGCAGCTCTCCTTTAACCCATAGCTTGGTGTGGGTAAGCCCTGGTCTTTCTGCCTCAGTCTCCCTGTCTGGGAACTGGTCAGAAGGGTCACAAGTGCCGCAGAAAAGGTACATAGGCAAAAGAGGATAGGAGGGGTTTAGATGTGTGGCGTGCAGGCTTTTGGCAACCCCTTTAGTCCTCGTCCTGGAGCTGGAGCTCTCCTAACTGCAGTTGTTCACAACCACCCTTTGTTTAACCCTCTTCTGTTCAGTCCTCTCCTGTTTCCTGCTCTGTTCAGATCGAAAGCGCCTGCAGGCAAGGCCTTGTTGCCTCTTGATTGTATTGCTCTGTAAAACTGCCATGTACCTGGATGGTGCTGTGTAAATAATTTGCCACAGGAGGATGAGGGAGGTTCAGCCACCCAGCAAGCCTCATGGCAGCCCTTAGACTGATGTTCTGGGGCTGAGCCCTGGCTGCTTTCAGTTTGGTCCACCCTTTGCACATGGGCAGAGTGCCTTTTGATCCAAGACACTTCCTCAGCTCCAAGACAGGATGCTACACACACACTTTATGTCAGAAATGGTACAGTCTGTGGCCCCACCATGCAGGGAGAGATATGTTCCATCCCCAGTACTTTAGGAAAACTTTTCTTTTGTATTTTTTTTTTGGGGGGGTATATCTCTTCCAGGGACGCGGGTGGCGCTGTGGGTTAAACCACAGACTTGCCGATCAGAAGGTCGGCGGTTCGAATCCCCGCGATGGGGTGAGCTCCCCGTTGTTTGGTCCCTGCTCCTGCCAACCTAGCAGTTTGGAAGCACACCAGCGCAAGTAGATATATAGGCACCGCTCCGGCGGGAAGGTAAACGGCGTTTCTGTGTGCTGCTCTGGTTCGCCAGAAGCGGCTTAGTCATGCTGGCCACATGACCCGGAAGCTGTACGCCGGCTCCCTCAGCCAATAAAGCGAGATGAGCGCCGCAACCCCAGAGTCGGTCACGACTGGACCTAATGGTCAGGGGTCCCTTTACCTTTACCTATATCTCTTCCACTCACAGCTCCTTCTTGACACATATGATGGGCAATTTTCTTTCTCATTCCTCCCCCTCCTCCTCCTGACATACTATCAAGGGATATCATTGGAATGAGTCCCTATCCGTTCTGGGTAGCATTTTAAATAATTTTGACAAAACCCAGATGCTTTCCCAGATGACGAGTCAAACTTTGCAGAATCCTTTAATAAGAAACTGCTTGACTTGGTTTCTTCCAAAGAGGGCATGCAAATATATTAATATTTCTCTGGCATGTTTTGCATTGCAAAGGGACTTTTCTGTTGCATGCCGTCCCCAACCAACCTTGGCTTTAAAATGAGCTCCCAAACCTAATAAAAAAGAATGTTTAGATGGATTCATTCCTGAGACACTGAACTGCAAAGGATGATTTGGAGATGTTTTGTTTGTTTTAGGGCCTGCTGCATTTTGAAAAATTATTATTGGATTTAAAAGAAGCAATTGATCTTTCTTTTTTCTTTTTCTAAAAAGCCATTTAAAAGTCATCCGGTGGTTCATAAATGGGAAACATATGAACTCTGTAACTGAAAACATTGTCTGTTGTTTAGATTTTTTGTTCTAAATCTGAAATGGAAATGCTAACTTTTATACTTTTAATTTTTTATTTAAATGTGATTTAGACAGAGGACATTCCAAGTCAGTCCTCCTCCCCCATTTCCCATGTTAATGAATTGGAGTGGGACGGGTGCTTCAGAGTGCAGTGGTAAAATGATGTCTTATGCATAAGATTTAAAAGGATGCATAAGAATATTCTTGAATCAGCTACAGGACTGATTTATTTTTATTTTGAAAAAAGGATGCTTTAGAAACAGGATATGCTGAGCCACTTTCAGTTAGTCTGGACTGAAATTAACCCATAAAATTAGCCCCCTTCCATGGGAGTTTCTATTCGACTTTTTTTGTGAAACTGGGTCCATAATGCTAAACTTGGGGGAAATCCAAGTTAGACTTGACTCGTTTCTTGATTATTAAGTGTGTGTGAACTTGTAAGAATGAGTGCAATCGAAAAATCGCATCTCCAGTCGCCCTAGCAGAATGTTTGTAATATATTGCCATTTTCAATACAGCTCTAGGACCTGAGTGGTAGAAAACACGACTGTGAAAGGGATGGGCTCCCGCGCTTGGCTCTCTCGGCCTGAGTTTTCCACTGCCCAAGCAAGGAATGTGCATTGTTTATATTCAAGGAATATGTATGCTATTAAATTTACAGACAAAGCAATGCTTCTCATCTTAATAGCTGGAGATGTGGAGGAGTTGAGTTACTACCCCCTTGACTGCCCAGGCAATAACAGTGCGTCTGAGCATGCACAGAGTGCTTCTCCATCATGCCCTCAGAACAGTAGGCTGCCCTCTTGAAACGAGGAGTCCAGGCAGCTCTCAACACCCCGCGCCGCTTATTCAAAAGAAGCCCTGAATAATAGCCAATAATTCGTTTCCTCGCAGCGTGTCTTGTTTATATATTTGAATCCCCAGCCCTCACCCCCCCCACAAACACTCTTTTTAATTGGCACCTGTCAAGATCAGCAAGGGAGATAGAAGATGTCTTTATGGTAATTTGAGGCAGAATTGCAGCACCACGGAAATCCATTTGCAAGCGCTGCCCTCTCTGCTTGGCTGAAGAGCAATTTCGATTTATTAGGCCGGCGTAGATCGCACGCACCGACGGCTTAATTAATGAGCTTTGGAACGCGCCGAGGCGCTCTAATTCGAGGAGGCGATGATTACCGTACTACTTGCCACGGGGGCAACCGCTGCCATATCGCTTAATCATGCAATCCAAGATCCCAAAATTAAGAGGGATCTTCCTAGCTGGCGCAGCTAGCGGAGAAAAAACCGTTCCTAGGATTCCGTCCCACCCCACGCGCAAACACACAAAACACGTGGCCTCGGTTTTCTTTTTGTTGTAGCCCACCCCCCCCCCAGTAACCCAGAACTCTGCCGCAAGACAGAAAGGGTAGCCTTATCCGTCGGCGCTTCCCAGCTCGCTGCTGGGCCCGTTTACTCGGAAGTAAGCGCCTCCTGAGTCCAGTGGGACTTGGCCCCAAAGCCCTATGTTGGGTAGGTCGCGCGCCTCCCCACGCCCATTGAGATCAGTAAGACTTAGGCCGCCTGGTTGCGTCCTGATTGCGCGCGATCCTAAACGTG